GTATTCTACACTCATTCTTTGGAAATCCTTCTCCCGCACTATTATGCAGATGTCTGTTGAAATAGATGTGTATAGTGGTACAGGTGCAATATCTAAACTGTGTAAAAAAAACTTATGACAATGTGCAGCAATCCAATAAACTTTTGTGGCTACAAAGCTATAACAGGAAATGAATAAAAAGGGTGCACAATAAAACTTTTCAAGGAAAATATATGTATAAAAATAAAGTATAAACCAATAAACAATTTTAAACACAAAGGAGCAGTTAAAGAAACCAGTGTTATCCACTAGCCAGTGCACAACATACCTGGCAATACTTATGCAACAAAACTGATTGATTAGAGGGGGGGGAGGGTTAAGCGAATCATTTTTGTTGCACAAGTATTGCCAAGTGTGATGAGCACTGTTTAGTAAATAACACTATTTTCTTTCTCTACGCTTTTGAGTTTAAAATTGTTTATTGGTTTACACTTTATTTTTATACACATATTTTCTTTGAAAATTTTTATTGCGCACTTTTTATGCAACAGATGTCTGTTAGGCAGCACACTCTCCGTAGGATTCATTTACTAAACAGTAAATTGGAGTGAAATTATATTTGACTTAACTGTGAACTTCTGCTCATTCACCAAGTAATTGCAAACATTGAATCCAGATGAAAGAAAAAATATAAACAGATATGATGAATGCGTATGTCATTCCTATACATGTACCCTAAGACTTACTCATGTTCTTTACACCCTTGCTGGCTGCATGTTAATTGTGAATCTTAGACCACAATAGCCAAACTGTTAAGACATGATTCACAGCAAAATGTGCACTATAGGCCAAGCTGGGACTATAACTGTTTGAGAATGTTTCTAAATTTGCTGTTCTTGTCCAATTTACCAAATTCAGTTTTCATATAATTACAATTCACTGATACTATTCGATGTTTTTAATTATTTAGCATGAAAATGTAAGATATATTTTTAAATATATATATATATATATAAACATTGCAGCAATGTTATTTCAGCTTAGACTCTGTTAAAGCTCTAAAGCTAATCGCTACTTATGTATGTATTTTAGCAACAAATGACAGTGGTATATTACTGAAACTACTCATGTTTACTTGAATGTAATGCGCCATCGAATCTAATGCACCTCAATTTTTGAAATCTGGAACTAAAAAATGTTTTTGATGGTGAATGTAATGTGCATTTATACAAGAAGATACTACTATACAACATTGTGCTACGATGAAAATGTTTATTGCCATATACCATAGTAACATTGATGGTATTTCAATTGTAGTGTAACATTTTAAGTCTATTTTTTCTTAAGCTCTCTTTCAAGAATGAAATTTGCCTGTGTGAATTCACCGGAATGAAAGTCACCTGTGTGAATTCGCCAGATTTAATTTGCTAGTTTTAATTCGCCTGTGTGAATTCACTGGAATGAAAGTCACCTGTGTGAATTCGCCAAATTTAATTTGCTAATTTTAATTCGCCTGTGTGAATTCACCGGAATGAAAGTCACCTGTGTGAATTCGCCAGATTTAATTTGCTAGTTTTAATTCGCCTGTGTGAAATCACCAGTTTTAATTCGCCTGTGTGAATTCGCCTGTTTGAATTCGCCTATTTGAATTCACTAGTTTTTATAAGCCTGTGTAAATTCGCTGTAAAACTTAGAATTTTCCCCCGAATGTAATGCGCCATCGAATCTAAAGTGCATTAAAATTTTAAAAACTTTATTTCCCAAAAGAGGTGCTCATTACATTTGAGTAAATACGAAGGTTACTGAAAAATAAATGAAATACAAACTGATACCAACATATTGCTTATATGCATAGCAAATAAATATAACTACTTCTAACCATTTTCTTTACTATTTTATTTTAATTTTTAGCAATAAACTATGCTATAATGCATGGATGTACACGTTTCCAGACATCTTGTTTTTACTTATTTAGATACGCGTACTCTTTTTCTTAAACTTTCTGAAGAAAAATAAGTTTAACATTTTTTTTTATTACTATTCATGTTAAAAGTTCAGTTTGCTGTAACACGCTGGCCCTTGTTTATGGGTTAAGCACTTTTTGTTTTGTCTTTTTTGCATTCCTTTGGTGGTAAAAGGGTGGGGGACAGCGCACATCCTATTCAGTACAATGACACTGAAAACAAAAACAGCCAAAAAATAGCACTCCTCCCTGGGTTTGATAAAGGTGCAAGTCAAAAGTGTGGTTTCACTTTTCGAGGGCATGCTATCTGAGAAACTAAAGATTTACATACCTGGGAGCTCTCAGGGTAAATGGGTAGAAGCCAAAAAGCTGATGTCTTCTAGTTATGGTTAACAAAAAAGGGGGTCATTAATACCCTATCAGTAAAGGTGGATGTGTATATATGGATGTATATAACAATCAGACTACAAGAAGCAATGAGGTGCATAGACTGGTGGTAGGACTATGTGTCTTGCTTAAAGGGTTACTCCAACCACCATGACCACTTCTGCTTTTTGAAGCAATCATGGGGGTTTGAATCTGCATGTGCAACAGTTTTCTGCTTGAAACACTGCACATACCTGACGTTTTGAGCTGGGGGCCACTTATACATGCGGGACATGTGTCTTTGTCAGCCCCGAATACTGTTCCGAGAAGCCTAATGTGAATTCTGTGCAAAAAAAAAAAACAATTGTCGTCACCACGCACAGATTATATATAGAATTATAAGAATAAAAAGAAATTCCTATTCACTAATAGATCACTTTTTAAGCATTCAATTCAATGTGCAATGTTGTAAAAACATTATCTCCAATACATATCTCCAATATGTTTTTGAGTGTTTTAGGTGTACAAATATGTATTACACTATATAATACAGAAAGTTTTTCATTCACATTTATTATTATTATTATTATTATTATTATGGTATTATTTATATAGCGCCAACAAATTCAGCAGCCTTTTACAATGGGTGGACGAACAGACATGTAGTTATAACCAGACAAGTTGGACACGCAGGAACAGAGGGGTTAAGGGCCCTGCTCAATGAGCTTACATGCTAGAGGGAGTGGGGTAAAATGACACAAAAGGTAAGGATAGTATTAGACTGACAGTTGTAAGAGAGGAATCAGTCGGAGCTATTAACAGTTTAATTGATACGCTTTTATGAAGACGTGTTTTTTTTAATGATTTTTTGAAGGAGTGAAGACTGGGTAAGCATCTACCAGAGGAGGGAAGCGAGTTCCACAGGAACGGTGCAGCCCTCGAGAAGTCTTGAAGGCGAGCATCAGAGGTGGGAGTACGGACAGAAGGTAGACTTAAGTCTTTAGCAGAGCGTAAGGGCCTAGATGGGACATACTTGTGTATTAGGGAGGATAGATAGGTGGGAGCAGCATTATGTAGCGATTTGAAAGAACCAGAATTTTAAATTGAGCCCTATATCTCATGGGAAGCCAATGTAGGGACTGACAGAAGGGTGAGTCACAGTTGAAGAAGCCTTCCAACTTTAATCCAACACCATGACCAAAAACTAATTAGTCGTGATGGATTATTAATAGATCATGTATCAATCCCGTTTAATAGCCCCCAATCCTCTTGATGCATTAAATTAAATATCATAGGAAAATAAACCTCTGAAACTGATATCTGCCTTATATTGTGAATTAAGGTGTCAAGAAAGAAGCAACAACTATCCAAAATAGGGAAGATTAAAAACGAGTGGTATAAACTACAAACATGATACCTATACACAACTGTAAAATAATGTGAATGAAAAATCAAGAATTTAAGGAGCTAATCTATTCAACTAAATTGTGAGATCTTGAAGGAGGATGAGTTCATTGTTTTTAAGCAAAATCTTTGTAATGTTAAAAAGCACAGGAGTGTACATAACCAACCTAGGGGACATATTGTCTTGGGTATTAACCTGCTGATGAGACATTTGATTACTTATGTGGGCTAATTCATATAAACAAAGGTTGGAGATACAGTCCATCTGTTATTGACACATGGAATTCCTATCTGTGCTATCCTCTTAGACATATAGCACACCTAATAATTTTACAGATTTTTAAGGAGTTTGTTAACGGTGAAGCAGTAGATAAATTAACATAGGTACGATATATTTTAGCCCTTTATGTAAAGTGTTATTCGGATTTTGAAATGGAACATTTTTTTTTTTTTACTAATTAGAGCTTGCTCTTGAAACAGTGTTAAAACATATTTATCTACAGTGTGAGATCGTTTCAGAAATTGTACATTCATTCACTTGTAATACGATTAAGCAATGCAAAAGGAATTTATAATCTTTTACAGGCTTTATTAAAGAAACAATTTGCCGAATTTACACAGTAAAACAGCCGTTGTAATCTTCTTTTCATCTTAACCTAGTTTAATAAAATATAGTCTATTAAATAATTTGTCAGTACTTGAAAAAGTGAAGAATAGCGAGTGAGTGACAGGATGCATACTTTCATTTGTGTTTCACCTTGTACGAATAATAAATTATATTTATGTAATATAACACATGTGTAGTTCTGCTTTTTATATATTAAAGGAATGCACTGGGCAACAACACAATTTAAGTGCATTTGATAGGATAATGCAGTATTTTTTTCCACATTCACATCTCTTTAATTCTGTTGCTTCCTGCAACTTAACTCCACCCCTTTTGCCATGCCTCCAATTTACTGAAACTTCTTCCTGATCTGAAAGTATGCAGTGTAGCTCAGCCAAAGAGAAACAAGTGTGAGCTGTGTTGCCGATGTTACTCCACCCACAGCCAATCGTTTTTCTCCTTTGCTAAAGCAAAAGGAGGTACAGGTGATGCTCGAAAAATTAGAATATCGTGCAAAAGTTCATTTATTTCAGTAATGCAACGTAAAAGGGGAAACTAATATATGAGCAATTTTCACCAAATACATCTGGGGCAACAAACCAGCAAGGATAGCTCTCACCACACTAACCTCCACCACAGACAGGGGGGGCCTGGGACTGCCCCACTTATACAAATATTATGTTGCAGTTTTGCTCACCCGACTAAAGGAATGGACAGACACCAAAAGGAAAAAGTCGTGGTACACATTAGAACAGAGCTTTACACCTGTCCCCCTACACACCTTGCCGTGGCAAATTTGCAGCCTACCGAAACTCACCACGACACGACACCCACTCATACACAATGTCCTCACAATATGGAGAAGACATAAAGACCAATGGAGACTGTCACCGGGACTGTCAAGGTTCTTCCCCATAGCAGACAATCCTGATTTTCAGGGGGGTGGAGGGAGACCACTCCTTTCTCACCTTGTGGGAACGCCCACCCCGGACATAACCGAACTGATAGGGGGAGACCCACCCACGGTCAAGGCCATATATGGACCACATAGACAAGACACATTCATTGAGGTGATAGGCAAAGCCCAACTCAGGAATTTCCTGAAAAGAACCGCTATTCCCCTCTGGAAACAGAGAGCAGACACACCCTTTGAACACCTCTGTGGCCCAGAGGGAGACCCCAAACGCCCTTTATCTAAAGTCTACCGCATCCTCCAGAGCTCAGTGGAGGAACACAAACCATTATCCTTTCAACAGAATTGGATGAAAGACCTCAGAATTCATATCTCTGACAAAGACTGGCCAGGGATCATGGAAATGGGAATCAAAACCCCAACCAGTGTAGCACACAGAGAGACATTCTATAAAAGAATCACCAGGTGGTACAGGACCCCAACCCGACTACACTCCATATGGCCATCAATCAGTAACATATGCTGGAGATGCTCCACCGGGCTGGGAACTATAGAACATATTTGGTGGAGTTGCCGAGACATTCAGGGTTTCTGGCACCTCATACTCGCCAAAATAACCAGGATACTTAAACCTCCGACCCGACTTACACCATCCCAAGTACTACTAAGCTGGCCCCGCACATTTACGGAACCCCACAAACAACAACTGCTACACCTATTACTAGGGGAAGCAAACGCCCTTATCCCGCTAAACTGGTGGAATACCAACACCCCATCCGTAGAACAGTGGGTACAAAGGGTAGAACGAACCAGAGAACTAGAAGACATCCACTGGACCTCAATAGGGAAACGACAGAAATATCTCCAGAGATGGGAGCCCTGGATAGGGTTCTGGAATACAGCCCCAGGGGAAAAGACCACCCCGCTCTCCAAGATTGACCACCTAGAGATCCAGGAAATGAGCCAATAGACACTACCGAATACACAACCACACAAGGACCATGACTACCCACCACACCAGGCAGGTCCCCCTTTCGACCCCCTCCCCAGTCCACTCCCCATTACTCCCCAACCCCCCGACTGGTTACTACCCCGAGTTACCTCTTAACCCCCCCATAGGTTTTAGTCAAAGACAACAGCACCATCCGCAAGACGTTACTCAAGATGATGCAATAGATCTAAAGTTAACTGTAGCCGGGTTTGTCTTAGACTCAGGCAAGGATGGAAGTATATTTATATGCACATATTGTTATATAACCCTGATTTGTAACAACAGAATGCTTCCCTCTTCTTTTCTGTACCCCATAACTTGTCTTTACGAAATAAAGAAAAACTGAAATAAAAAAAAATAAAAAAAACTAATATATGAGATGGACGCATTACATGCAAAGCAAGATAGTTCAAGCCGTGATTTGTCATAAGTGCGATGATTATGGCTTACAGCTCATGAAAACCCCAAATCCACAATCTCAGTAAATTAGAATATTATGTAAAGGTGCAATATTCTAGGCTCACAGTGTCCCACTCTAATCAGCTAAGTAAGCTATAACACCTGCAAAGGGTTTCTGAGCCTTTAAATGGTCTCTCAGTCTGGTTCAGTAGGAATCACAATCATGGGGAAGACTGCTGACCTGACAGTTGTGCAGAAATCATGGCTTGAATCATCTTGCTTTGCATGTAATGCGTCTATCTCATATATTAGTTTCCCCTTTTAGGTTGCATTACTGAAATAAATGAACTTTTGCATGATATTCTAATTTTTCGAGTATCACCTGTATAATACAATCACAGTGATTGGCTGTGGGATGGAGTCATGTTAACAACCCACTGTGATCTCTCACTGAGTGGAGTATATACTCAGAGTACTTCTAATAATGAAATAATTTTGTGAAAAGAGAGCCATGGCTAAGGGTGTTGGGTTGTGCTTTTGATGCTTATAACTTTATATGTTTTGACAAAACTGGAGATTTCAATGTGAAAAAAACAAAGCATTAGTATGAAGCTAAAACCAAAAAATGCATCAAATGCACTTGAAGGGACACTATAGTCATTAGAACCATAGCAGCTTAATGTCATGGTTCTGGTGTCTGTAGTCTGTCCATGCAGCCTGAGCACTGTAAACGCTCATTTTTCAGAGAATAGGCAGTGTTTACATTGCTGGCTAGTTACACCTCTAGTGGCAGTCACTCAGATGATCACTAGAGGTGCTTCCTGGGTCATGCATGGAGGCGCTGAGATGCTGATTGCTGATCTCAGCCACGGAGACAGGACAAGTCCCGGGGAGGCCGGCGTGGCATTAAAAACAAATTTTCTGTGTAATTAAAGCAGGGTAAAGGACTTACACAACCATACCAGGACTATAGTGTCAGAAATACAACTTTCTTTTAATTTGTGTTTGTGCCCAAAGAGTGCCTGGAGTGCCTTTTTAAATTAGCAAGTGGTTACACACTTTTAATTACTGACCTGAGAATGCGATTTCAATATTAGGGTCAAGAGAAGCAAATTAGAAAAAAATAAATAAAAATTAGCTTCATCAAAGTACTTATGCCCTAATCCGCCCTGAACAGGGAATTATGGGATAAGGTCAGTCTCCACAGACCAGAACGAGAGACTTCTGATTGGAACATCTCATTAATTATAGGAAGGGTTGCACTAAAGGTGAAGGCAGCCCTTCTAAACAGGCTACAGGAAACAGTTTAAAAGGTATCTATTTTAATATTTTAATAACATTTTTTGCCAGTTTGCTTTTTCTACATAATCACTAAAAATACTGGGCCAAAATGTATCCTGGCAACCCTTTAAAAATATGGTACACCAAATAAAAATACAGTATGTATCTCGCCCCTCACATTTTTGTAAATATTTTATTATATCTTTTCATGTGACAACACTGGAGAAATGACACTCTGCTACAATGTAAAGTAGTAAGTGTACAGCCTGTTTAACAGTGTAAATTTGCTGTCCCCTCAAAATAACTCCACACACAGCCATTAATGTCTAAACCGTTGGCAACAAAAGTGAGTACACCCCTAAGTGGAAATATCCAAATTGGGCCAAATTAGCCATTTTCCCTCACCGGTGTCATGTAACTCAGTGTTACAAGGTCTCAGGTGTGAATGGAGAGCAGGTGTGTTAGATTTGGTGTTATCGCTCTCACACTCTCTCATCCTGGTCACTGGAAGTTCAACATGGCACCTCATGGAAGAGAACTCTCTGAGGATGTGAAAAAAATAATTGTTGCTCTACACCTAGCCTATGGCCTAGGCTATAAGAAGATTGCCAAGACCCTGAAACTGAGCTGCAGCACGGTGGACAAGACCATACAGCGGTTTCACAGGACAGGTTCCACTCAGAACAGGCCTTGCCATGAGTGCACTTGCTGAGAATCATATCCAGAGGTTGTCTTTGGGAAATAGATGTATGGTATTGCCAGCATTGCTGCAAGGGTTGAAGAGGTGGGGGGTCAGCCTGTCAGTGCTGAGGTCATACATCACTCACTGCATCAAATTGGTCTGCATGGCTGTCGTCCCAGAAGGAAGCTTCTTCTAAAGATGATGCACAAGAAAGCCTGCAAACAGTTTGCTTAGGACAAGCAGACAAAGGACATGGATTACTGGAACCATGTCCAGTAGTCCGATGAGACCAAGATAAACTTATTTGGTTCAGATGGTGTCAAGCGTGTGTTGCGGCAACCAGGTGACGAGTACAAAGACAAGTGTGTCTTGCCTACAGTCAAGCATGGGGGTGGGAGTATTATGGTCTGGGCCTGCATGAGAGCTTCCGACACTGGAGAGCTACAGTTCATTGAGGGAACCATGAATGCCAACATGTACTGTGACATACTGAAGCAGAGCATGATCCCCTCCCTTTGGAGACTGGGACGCAGGGCAGTATTCCAACATGATAATGACCCCAAACACCTCCAAGATGACCACTGCATTGCTAAAGGCACTGAATGTAAAGGTAATGGACTGGCCAAGCATGTCTCCAGACCTAAACTCTATTGAGCATCTGTGGGGCATCCTCAAACGGAAGGTGGGGGAGCGCAAGGTCTCTAACATCCACCAGCTCCGTGATGTCATGGAGGAGTGGAAGAGGACTCAGTGGCAACCTGTGAAGCTCTGGTGAACTCCATGCCCATGAGGGTTAAGGCAGTGCTGGAAAATAATGGTGGCCACACAAAATATTGACACTTCGGGCCCAATTAGGACATTTCCACTTAAGGGTGTACTAACTTTTGGTGCCGACGGTTTAGACATTAATGGCTGTGTGTTGAGTTATTTTGAGGGGACAGCAAATTTACACTGTTATACAGGCTATACACTTACTACTTTACATTGTAGCAGAGTGTTATTTCTTCAGTGTTGTCACATAAAAAGATATAATAAAATATTTACAAAAATGTGTATATAATTTATTCCAGTTTAAATGATATACTTGGATGATTTCTCAAGGGATTGTGATATTTAAATTTGAAAGGAATTAGTTTTATATTGTAATGACATCAGTCATATTTGGTTCTATAGCATTATACCAGCTGTTTGATGCATTAGGCAAGAAATACATTTAATTCAGAAAAGATTATCGTCTGTTAATTTATTTCTTCTCAATACATGATAATAAAGGATTGAAAAGCATGCTTTGTTTTTCTCATGAATTCCAATGCAGACTGGACATTCTCACAGATGTCTTGATAGTTTGACAATAACATGTATTTTACGAATTTAAAATGATGTAATGGAACTCAGTTATAAACTTACAGAGTCATCAATAATGCTGTGTAATTCACTATTCATGTGATCTATTACATTTAAACTAGGACAGGAAAAGCTTAGAGGAAGGCTTACTGCAGCTTTTCCTACTGAAACATATTAGAGATTGTGAGAGCTATTGACTTTAACACAAAAAAACTAATAGCTAACAAAACAGGCAAAAGTACCAACATTGTAGGTATACAGAGAAATTATGCATAAGTACAAAAAACCCAAAAATAATTACTTGCCAATGACAGACAGACAGACAGTGTCAGCCAGATTGTGAAAGATTTGACCAAATTTATCTACAAATAATACCAATCACGGGTACACTAAACTACCAGCAAGCTTTCTGTTACTTGTTCAGTTTTAAAAAAACAAACAAAAA